CCATGGACAATGAGGATGGTGTGCACAACGCGTTGGTTGGACAAAAGCATAGTCATACCAGTGAGTGTCTCCCGCTCAATTCCTATCTTCTCATCTGTACATGCGTGTGAGTGACGAATAACATATGTCAACGACTGTCTAAATGTTTAATTTTTACAAATTTGAGTCGGCTGACTTGACATATCCCCGATAAAAAATGATACTAGCATCTGTCTATCTCTGCGCTAGCAAATCAAACGTGCGAGCGTTGCGGTTGGATAGTAGCGTTGGTCTCTGAGATTAATATCATGCGAAGATGCGACTGGACATACATTTCCAGCGGAAGAATACTGACAAGGGTAACCTACTACCATAAATGTGAGGCTAACCTCTTTTAAACATTCTTATAAGAGGTGTTAAACGCCGAGTACCATCGCACAGAAATTATGTTAAAATAGGAAGCGCATCTATCCTAATCTGTTTGGGGGTTTAAAGTAATAGGAGCGATATTAGCCAGCTTGTCTGGCACCCATGGGCCATATTAGTAGGAAGACTATAGGCTGTCGCGTAATCACACACCGAAACCAATCCGCGCGATAAAATCGAAGTAAATTCAAACAATTAAGTTTTAGATGAAGGTCGTATTTCGAGCTTGTTCCTCGTGATATGAGAACTAAATTCCTGCTGCCTCTTCTACCTTAACACCCCATTAAATTTGAAAAAAGAACAATTGCAGACATGGCATGTGTTTCTTAAATAAGCAGGTATTTCATGTCATTTGTCATACAACTGATGTGATCGCTTTCAAATCATGTTGTAACTTCAGCATCCCCTCTGGCGCTGATTGAAATTCTAGACAACTACAGAATGTGGTACCTATTGTACGTCACTTAATTTTGGCAGTCGCTCGCAGATATCAAAATTAGAATTAACACAAAAATGTGCCTTGTGACATTATATAGAGGCCTCCCCTAAAACTGAAGTAGCTGATGAGGAGGCGAGGCAGATTCTGCAGTCATTCACCCCTATACACATGATCGACGGTCGTAGCCTTTTAGACCTCGTTTCCTATTACCCTACATAAGTACATAAGTAATTTGCGCCTTTGCCAGTTTGCAGGCTTTGACAAAAGAAATACACTTTGAGGCCAAGCTACCTATAAAAAACGCTTGAGAGAGGATAATTTGATTTCTCCGTAGAAATATGACGTTTAAGAAGCAGGCCAATGCATAAGCTTAGCCAAAATAACGTCGTATTCAAATGAACTACTGGCCGTTTGGACGCTAAAATGTATCTTGCTTTCCAACTCAAATTTAGCTTTCCTCAGATTTTCACGATTACGCTGGGAAACTCTTCTAGTAAACCGATTCCAATACAACAATATCAGCAGCATCATGATGACACCAAACGCTTCATTCAGTATTCAAGTCCATCAGGAACAAATGCAAATGACGGGTTTGGGAACAACCGGTAAGAACACACTTCGTGGAAGAATGGCGACCGGTCTACAAGTATCCCTTTTTTATCGCGCGTACCGATCATGTCTTCCCTTGTTTTCTGAAACTTTAAAGGCTCTGAAGGGCAACTCGGTAGATACAGCATCAATCTGAATATGCATTCTGACTAGGTTGTCAGCACGGCAATAGCAACGCTCTCTCTAGAAAACATCATCATGTATATTTTGAGTGTTCATCGTGCACTGACGCCAGTACATCCACGGAAAAGTTGCAGATAACTAGCGTGTGCTCTGAGTTGCAGTACAACGATATGGTCCGCTTAGTGCCCCTATATCTAGTAGCAAGTTGAGTGGCCTCTCAGAAAATCTGAACTCGATGGCTGGGGTCATGAGACTAGTTGCATGCCATACTCCTCTTCCATCGTGCCAGCGACCAATAACCCAAGCGTGTTCTCCTATTTTTCGTGATGGCAGAGACTACGATGACCAATTCGGGCTTATTAACCGCCGTCGGTGTGATACTGCCTTAATTGGCAATATAATGCTGACATAAAATAACATGAGCTCGAATTTTAATATTTAAGCGAATACAGCCTTCATCGTGTGTTTGATAGATTGTGAGCTTGAGTGGCCGTGGCAGAGAAAGGGCACAATCATGATCACGCTAAAGAATACAGGTCACGAAGTGTGGACTTTTGACGGATTGACGGACTGGGCTTCATGAAGGTTTCGATGTCGAAATTCAGAAACGTTACTTTTTTATTATACCATTGGCAAATGAACACAAACATAGAGAGCCTATGAACAAACAATTATATTATAGAGGGCGGGCATGACCCCCTTATTGCAAGCATATAAATACGTAAAAAGCATCGGTAATGATGATACTTATGATGATGATGATGATGATGGTGGTGGTGGTGATGGTGATGGTGATGGTGATGGTGTGATTTTGGTGGTGGTGGTGGTGGTGGTGGTGGTGGTGGTGGTGGTGGTGGTGGTGATGATAATGATGATGAGTATGATGATGATGATGATGATGATGATGAGGAGGACATAATAATAATAATAATAATAATAATAATAATAATATGATGATGATGATGATGTACTAGGTCAGACAGTTCACTGATGCATGCGAGAAGGAAAAGGTAGGAAGGACCGATGATGATGATGATGATGATGATGATGATGATGATGATGTTGATGATGGTGATGATGATGATGATGATGATGATGATGATGATGATGATGATGATGATGATGATGATGAAAGATGATGATGATGATGATGATGATGATGATGATGATGATGATGATGATGAATGATGATGATGATGATGATGATGATGATGATGATGATGATGATGATGATTACCCCCTTACAGTTCTGACGAGAGCTGCTCGAAATAATAATAATTTGTATATTTAAGGCCCAAGGGGCCCTGTCGTTACAAAC